GATAGCCACCTCCACCTCTCGCGTCCCCACCATACGCCCTCTGCTGGGCAAATTCAAAGGTATACTCTCAGTGATCCCATTTGTACGATAATTATCGTATACGTCACATAATTTGAAGCAGTGTACGATCCTAAATCCAACTTGTACGATAATTAATGATTATTCGATATGTAAATATAATTTTCGATATGTCTTGATTTTGTTTTTGTTACACGATTTGTTTGCAGCGTACTCTAGCGCACTCAGTTATTTATGTGTTGAAAAGTATTATATAAATTTCATAATTATTTCAATGTTTGAATCATTCGCGCGCAAAATCGAGTTCCGGTTCCTCAGCAATGTACATGCCGCATCCCTCCTATAGGATCCCTAGGTTGCAGCGTACTCTAGCGCACTCAATTATTTATGTGTCGAAAAGTTCGCAAAAGCAATTTTTTGATTGGCTACAGTCATATTCCTTAGTCAAGCGAAAAAAGGACGAATACAACGAAACAACGAAAGATAGATACCAGGAATCCGAACGATATAGGATTTTTCACATTTTTTGTGGTAGTCACTATCAGATTTATTTCTTTTACATACATCTGATTTCTCACTATCWGATTTATTTCTTTTACATACATCTGATTTCTCACTATCAGATTTATTTATCTCACCTCTCATTTCTACTGATTTTGGCATCACACTTGACGCATCAGTTTCATGTGAATCTCTTTCCGAATTTACTTCTTTCAGTACCGGTCGAAAGTTCAAGTAATTTATTTCATCTACTATTACATCCCTTATTATTTCAAATTTTCTATACTTAACATTCCAAATTTTATATCCATTCGATACAAATCCAACTAATATAGCTTTGTAAGATTTTTTATTGAATTTAGACTTTCTAATTTTATTATGCACATAGACTGTGGAACCAAATACCTTCAGATATTTTAAACTCGGCCTTTTATTATGCCATAATTCAAACGGAGTTTTATCTATTGTAAGAGCCCGCGTTGACGTTAAATTAATTAAATAAGTTGCAGTTAAGACTGCTTCTTCCCAAAATTTCTTTTCTAGATCAGTACTATTTATCATAGCCCGTGCTTTTTCGGTTATAGTTCTATTCATGCGTTCTGCAACGCCATTCAATTGAGAAGTACGCGGAACCGTTAAATGGTAACTTATTCCCTTTTGAACGCAATAATCTTTCATTTCATTTGATAGATATTCTCTACCATTATCACAATACAAATTGACTAACTTTAAATTAAACCGAGCCTCACTCTTTACAACGTAATCTTTGAAAACTATGTAAACATCGGACTTATGCTCTAATAAATAAGTTACGCCATAATGCGTATATTCGTCAATGAATGTTATAAAATAATTTTTGTTATTGACCGTAGAAAGAATGATTGTTTGTAATAAATAATCATGGTTCGACAGTGTATTCTTAATTACTGCAAAAGTTCAACACGAATTACGCAAGACCGTAAATTTTTTCGTTTTCCAAAAAAAGAAGAACGTCGAAAATTGTGGTTGCAAAATAGTAATGTCAGCTGAAAACGTGAAAAAATATTCAGTTTTATGGTTTGTAAAATTTTGTCTGATTATACTAATTTTTAATTGATTTTAAACTAAACTAATAAATATTAAATGAAATAAATCATTTGTCTCATCAACAGTCTTAATCATACTGATTATTACAAAATTATATTGAATTAGTAAAATATTTTAAAACTAACGAAAATACTATCTAAAACAATAATAACCAAATATTAAAATATTAAATATAAAATACTAAAATATTAATCATTCAAATATTATACAATTTTTTTATTTTTCTAGAAATATATTTCCAGAAAGAAGCTTTTATCAGTGCTGTCAGATCGTGGGTAAATCTTACCCTCTCCCTGTGCCACTGGGATGAGTGTCGTCCGAACACATGGACACGAGTCGCTTTCATAGTGTGCCACTCCGGCGTGCCCGCCAACTTCGGTTACACTCGACTTCTTTCGACATCCCAAACACACGGACATGGAAAACTTTCATTATGTGCAATCCCAGTGGCACAGGGAGAGGGTAAGATTTACCCACGATCTGACAGCACTGGCTTTTATTACAATTATCGAAAATTGGGAATTGATGTTGATGCCATTTTATGAAGAYATAATACYMAGGAATCCTAGCTGATTTATTAATATTGGAAATTAAAAACAAATTGTACGAGTGATTAAAATAATTGTAAATATAATATATATAGTAGATAATTGTATTTATTAAAATTGTATAAATTTCTACAAGTTGTTTGGAAATTTCAAATACTGTAATGCCTTTTATCAAATCAAACTTAATTGAATCTTTCTATTTGAATTTATAATAATTTTTTTGTGTAACCTATTCTATTTTAATATAAATTTTTAATTATCATTAAATATAGTACTATATTGCCATGCTAACAAAGCCATACCATTATTGGAATTTCAACGAAATATCACCCGAGCATATTTGCAGCGAGCATCTCCTTCTAATCCTAACAATCATGGTAGTTCTCTATACAAGCAAGCATCAATACTTGTTCCCGAAAGCGTAAGGACGGACCCAATAGGGCATTATTTAGAAAGAACTCTTGAAGGAAAACAAAGAAAATGCGCAGTGTACAAAACAAATGTAAGAAAACAATGTGGCAAATTTAATGTCGGGTTACATGTGGACTGTATGAAAGAATGGCATAAATATCAACTATTCTTGTATATATGAGAAAACGCATATAATAAAAGAATTAGTTTCCTATTAATTTTTTTTTATGCAACCTGCCACAATCCCCATTCGGGACTTCTTCAAAAATATTAAATATTTTCAAAAAAAAAAAAACAATTCGAATAAAATTATACTGCTACATTTACTTTTGTGCATATATATGTAGAAGAGTTGTAAGTGTCGAAGATGTAGACGAAAAACTAGTATTCAGTTCTTTTCTTTATATTTTATTTTCTGGAAAGGAAAACTCTATTCAGAGACTAAAAGAAAAGATTAGGAAGGCCATAAAACCATAAACAAACCTAAGGATTATCGGGATATATTGGTGCAATAAAAACCCTTTGTGCAGTGTCGGGACCCTTGGAGGAATTTCGGATTCCTATAAATAATTAAATTAAATTCCTATAAACATATGCGATACCATAAAAAGAGATAACATTCCGATGTTCTAGATCAAGTTTCTTTATGCATAGTTCCCACTACCAAAAACCATAGGCTGTACTCGTCGGTGGACTATAGGGGTCCATATAGTTATGCTATTGGTAAATAAGATTCGTAAGCTCCTTCCCTATCCAAAGGGGTGTGGGTCATTTCTGATATAAAATACGTGGAAAGAAATAGGAAACCAGTCGCAGTCGCAGTCGCAGTCGCAGTCACAGTCGTAGTTAGTCATCAGTCGTAACAGTCGCAGTTGTATTATAAGTCGTTATCAGTTGTAAGAATATAGTCGCTCATCTAAGTTTTAACCGTAAGATTGTGAAACTATTATTATACTTTTTCTAATACCTGTTTTAAATAAATCTTATTAGTAGGATTAAACTGGGTGTATGTTCACCTCGCATCTCTCACCCTAAATAAAATTCCCTACATATATAACTTATCCGGCCAAAAATTTCAACAACAAAAATTTGGCAGTTAATGGGTTAAGTAAAAGGTGCGAATCGACCCATCAATTTACCAATAACATGTTGAATCGTCATTACTCTTACAAAAGAGAGCTACAACTCCTGATCGCAGTTGCATCGACTCGGCCTTACGATGTAAAGATTTCAATTTTTATATTACAGATATTATACTGTAAATAGAGATCTTAAATTTTTCTAATACTGGAGTCTTATTTAGAAACTATGATAAATTTTGCTTATGAGAAACGTGGATAGTTTAATGGCCAGTCGAAGAAATAACTTATATTTTTAAGTGTGTGTATTGAGATAATATGGAGTCTACGCTTCGGAGTATGCAGTCACACACATCACACACACCTACAACATTTAGTAGCCAGGAATGGGGACTACGAAGCAGCGCACAAAGAAGAGACCGAGAATAGGAAAAAATGTATAGCTATATTTTGTCTCATTCTTTCGCAGGTTCAATCCTATATGTTTTTCTCTTTTTCTCTTTTTAGTCTCGTAGCCATTTTATCGCTTCGTTACATGGATTTTCGTTCAAATCACCCTCATTCTAAAGAAGTTTTCACTTCAAAAACATATGAAACAAAAATGAATCCATTAAAAATAAAGTTATTCTTTTCTGTTACAAAAAAGCATCAAACTAAATTAAATTTAATATCAGATCTGCATAAGTTGGCATTCAGTTAGAAATAACTATCGAATTTTTAAATTTCTATTTCTCTTATTGCTGGTAAACACACCAATCGTATCGCATCCATAGAAATGGCGGCGAATCTTTATCCTTTTTAAACGTACCGATCGAAGTTTCGAAAAACAATCGCATCATCTTTCTTCCCATCTAAAAATACAAGAACATATTCATGTCAATTGAATTAATGCTTTGAACAGTCTGAAATTATTCTCGATTTTTTGTTATTGTACCTAGTCGATATTTCGGAATGTAACATTTGTCTCATAAAGTGTATCATCGATGAACAAACAAATCTATTTGGAAAGAATCAGTTTATGGTAAGTTTTGCAAAGAAACGTATTAATCTTCCAAACTTTATTCACCGTGGAAACAAAAAGAATAAAAAAATAATTAAACAAGAAAAAAGAGACGAAAATAATAATTCTCGTATAAAATAATCTTGTTTGAACTTGATACGATGAGGTGACTCGTGTGCACCTTCAGGAAACTCCATTTATCGATCTTCTGATTCGCTTTCGCGCTTTCGAAGAACGCGAACAGTACGACGCAAGCTCGTACCGAACGAGAGGAAAGCTTTCCATGTTGTAATGGTAGGGTGCTTTTATGTGTTGCTTAGGTCAATGTGTGTGTTTAAATGAAAGAGTGAGAAAGAGAGTGAGAGAAAGTCAGAGAAAGAAATAGATAGGAAGATAGACACATACATATATCTATATACATATATCCCACTTCATCTTTTCCACCTCGTTTTGCCTCCCTCTTTGGAGTTACCCGCGCTCAACGTTACGTTACGTTACTTTTCCTCGAGGTACTCTATTTCTCGTCTTCATTTTATCACCTTACTGAATTCATCTACGAAAATATACATACATAGGCACATGTAACTATATAGGCCTACGTATTAAGGAAAATCATTTCTGGATTGAATAGAATAACGATACGATTATGTCAGAGAAGATGAGCGATCAGGAGGACCTAGAATACTGCATAATGTTCCCGTCTTTTCCACCATCACCAAAGGACCCAGCTTTGACGTCTTCCACAACCAATGGACAGGATCATAAAGAAGAATTTGTTTTTGTCTATGAAGAGGACAAACGACCATTGGTTGTTCTTCTTGGATGGGCTGGATGTCAGGATAGATATTTGGCTAAATACAGTGCTATTTATAAGGAGAAGAGGTAGGATCATTTCATAGGTAACATCGTGTATCTTTCTTTCTCTCATTCTCTGTCATTAGAATTCAAGGTCAGCCTCCAAATCTATACATGTTTATTCATTCAATCGGTGTGATAACTATTGAAAGAAATGAGTCTGTCCTGCTTCTCTTCCATTTTTTTCCTTTTTTTTGTTTCCATTAACATTCCATTCGATATGATTTTGATTATAAATTTGATGTCAACCAGCAGCACGGCAGCCGGTAGTACGTTTGTAGTCGACGATTATCGACCGCTCCGTACCGGCTTTGCACAGATGCTGCTCACCTGACCAGAATTCGGTTTGTTAATATTATAATATATTTGTTGTCATCTGACAAAAGTTTAGGAATTCCGCTAGTTTTACTTTCCTTAAGACGCTTTAATTACTGTACAGTGATTTTAAAAATGTTCATTGCTGTGACTGATCAATAGACACGTGTCAGAAGTTATTTTTAATTACTACTTTATATGGAGAATATTTTTCATAGATTAGTTTATATGACGGTAGCTAATTTTTATTGATTTCGTGAAGTACATTTTGGCACAACTAAAAGTTACATAATATAATATTTAAAATAATATTTTTTATAATAACAAGTTAATTTTCTGAATATGAAATTGGCCTGAGAGACGACCCAAAAATGCTCAAATTTAATAAAGGCACAAAATCTTTGTTAACCATTACATCAAATATTAACGATAATTACTTGAGTTTGATTTAAGATCAACTAATAAAAATATTACATAATATTGCTAACGAATCATAGAATTCGATTATTTGCAGTTGCATCACTCTTCGTTATACAGCACCTATGGAATGTCTTTTTGGACGAAGAAACAAAATGCCTTATATAGGCAAAAGATTGTTACAAGTAATTGCTAAAAACAGTTTGAACGGTCATCCGATATTCTTCCACATATTTAGCAATGGTGGCGCCTTACTTTATCAACACATCAGTATTGCAATGCAACAAATGAATTCTCCGATCCAAGTAACGGAACAATTTATTTCTTAATCGCTTTTTCCTATAAGAATATTAATTTATTCATAAATGTTCATTTTAATTATATTCCACAGTCACAAGTGAAAGGGGTGATCTTTGACAGTGCACCAGGTGAAAGAAGAGTTACATCCCTGTTCAAAGCTATCAGTGCAATCATTGGTGGACATCCTCTAACAAATATACCGATGTCATTCTTTATTACAATCTTCTTATCAATGTTCTGGTTCTTCGAGGTTTTTATCGTCCACTTGTTTCTCTCTTACTTTGTAGTGATAAGCCTGATTCTTCAAGTACAGGGTAAATTAGTTTAAGGAAAAAAATAATGTAAGATTTAGGCTCATTACCATAAATTTCATACGATGTTATGAATTTACTGCGATCTCATCTTTAAAAAAACCAAATATTGAAAATAAAATGGTAGTTGAATAGTTATGCAGTATCTTGTGGAATAATAACAATCGCAATACTGTATCTTCGCTTAAAATTTATAATATCAAGCGTAAATCTTGGCACTCTTCAATATTTCAAAAAGGATTGATAATAACAAATTTAATAGAAATGTAATCTATATACAGGTGATCGCTCATGCACTTGGACGAGGTTTTACCATCCAATCGAATCCTTTCGCATTGATGGAAGAATCCTCCTCTTGGCCACAACTATTTCTTTACTCGAATACCGACACCTTAATTCCTGCTGCAGTTAGTTCATACAAATATTCTATAACTCAAGCTTACAAACTAGGATTTTGATCTCGAGTACTTAACAAAATAAATTTTATATTATAAAATAGAATTATATTTTTAGGACGTTGAGAAATTCGCAAGCCGACGTGCAGAACGCGGAGTACGTGTACAGCTAGTACTCTTCACAAATTCACCCCATGTTAAACATTATGCAATGTATCGAGAGGTCTACGTTAACACGGTTTACAGTTTCATCAACGAGTGTCTGCAGTCTGGCAACCCGTCCAAAAGGTTCGAGAAATCACCTAATCTTGACGAAGATCATATCGAATCCGAAGTTTACGATTCGCAACCTGGTCTCACGAAACGTGTCGTTTTACCTAACGAGGCAACCAAGTATCTAAATTAGTACTCATACACGCGAAAGAACAAATCGTCGATAAAATGAAAAAGATAAAAAGAACAAGCATTTTTATTAGCAAAAATTATCTTGCATTATTTCGTCGCAAGGAAATTTTAAACACGCGTTCGTTGTAAAAACTTACGGATATCGAAAATCGATTAATATTGATCATATTTTTTTTATTGATTTAATTTTTTTAATTATTTATATTTTTTAAGCAATTTAATACGAGCTAATAGTTAAAGTTAAAAAGTTAATACAAGTATACGAAGAACAATGGAGTGATGATTTTTTTTTTAATTTATTCTCTTTTATAAAGACTTTTTCAACAAAAAAAAGAAGAAAATTTAAAAGAAAACGAAAATTAATATCGATTTTCGAACTCTGTTAGTTTTCACAAACGCGTAAATATATCTTCATTGCTTTTCAATTTCTTCCCTTTTACACATCTTCCATTTTCCGACAATCCGAAAGACGTATGAGTAAATAAGTGCGTATCAAACGTGCCTCGGCTGATTGTAAGTACATAGTACGAAAAAATAAATATATACAGCAGTACAAGACGAACCCCAACAACAACAAGAAAAGAATTAAAAGATAAAAATAAGTAATTCCACAGGAACACTTTCCCCGCGTAGTGAGCTTATAATGACTCTAGGTGCACTTTGCTACTGAATTAATGATCAACATAATATAATAATGATTCTTATTATTATTATCATTATTATTATTTGAACAATATTGAGAGAAGGAGAGAGATTTATTTAAATAACATACGCGAGAAATAAAAAGAAAAAGAAAGAGAACGTACTATAAAATATGTTTAAAAAATAAAAAAAAATAAAAAAGAATACGAGGATCATTCGAATTGCTCTGAATATCTATTTTTTCAAACCCGATTGTAAAAAGAGCATGGATCCTATATTATATTATCATTAGTATTATTATTCTAATTGTTTAGATTATAATTATTATTATTATCTGTTATTATCGTCATCGTTAATACGATGATTATAATGACTCAAATTATGACTCGCGAGTAGGACTCGCGAGTAGTTGATCAACTTGGTTCGATGATAAATCGCACAAAATATACATAATATAAAGTTAGAGTCTTGATCTAGCTTTCGCTATAAATCAGAAATTTCAAATTGCATCCTGATTAAAAAGGAGGATTTAAAGAAAATGTCTCTAAACCAAGTCCCCCTCTCCATCAATAATTCCTTCCCTTCTTACATTTTGTCTCTCGTTATATCAGACACTATGTTAACGCGAATATATATAAATGCAAATATATATTTTGATCTGTCGATTAGTTACAAAATAAAGACTGATAAATACCTCTTACAAATGTATCATGCGTTTTGTTATGATTTTTTATGTAGGCATATATATAATTTTAATAATAAAAATGAAACAATAATTTTTTTATTAAAATATAAATTTCTCTGTGTGAACGAGTAAAAGAATGTATAATTGTAGTATTATTAATAAAATATTTAAGAATATATATAATTTAATAATATAATATAATTAAAAAATTAAAAATAGTAGATATATGTTAATAATATTTTTAATTATATTATATTATTAAAGTGTAATACGAAAGATCAAATTTTTAGATAAAATTTATATAATACTTCCGAAATTTTTATCAAAATCGAAATTTTATATTCTTTTGCTCGACCATCCTTGAGGGAAATTTATCAATCATGATCGATAAGGAAAAAGACGATAGTAATCGATTTTTTAAAAGAATCCTGTCAAAAATATGATGGTTAACATTTGACAATAAAATAGTAACAGCTTAATAATGAAAACATATTAGGATCCTAAAAAATCTTTTGATAAAGAAAAAACTATCTAAGAAAAAATATAATTTTTTCTTGGTAAAACTTTTGGAGCTGGCGTATATCGAAAGTAGTTTTCCGAATTGTTCGCACGCGCGATCCCATTATCTATCTACTTTTTTATCAAGTCGTGTGGAATCCCTTCGGGGATCGAGATCGCTAAATCGGGAAGAAAGAATTCGTCTCGAAGGACTTTCTTATTTCGTTCAAGACATCGAACAAAAAGTGCAACAAAAAGAACTCGACGAAAAGTTTACTAAATTTGAACTTAAAGTCAAACCTTCGAACAGGTACGAAACACTACAAGTAATACAAGCTGATCAGAAAATTTATTTTCAAATGAAGAAAAGTTGATAATAGAAAATGAGTTATTGAATTTTAGTATTAACAAAAAATCACGAAAATTGAATCCTATGCGAAAAACTGCTGCTGTTACAGCTCGTCCATTATTTTGTAGAAAAGGTGACAAAGTTATTTTTAATTTTCAACACTTCATAAGTCCTGAGAAAATTTTAAGGGAATACATTGATTTTAATATTTATAACAAGTAAGCTTTTTAATGATGGGTTAAAATTATATATAAAGTTAAGTATTTACCACTTCGTAAGTCTAACATTTAAATCGATTTTGAATCATTTTTAAATAATTAACAAAACTTTGTTAAAATTTTTGGAAAATTTCACGAGCCATAATTTTGCCTCGTAAATAATTAACATAATTTCTGATTATAAAAATTAAAAAAAAAAAACATAAATATATTCCTGAAAATTTCGAATAGAAGCAAACTGGCTAAAATTGACAAACAGAAAATCTCGGAAGCATTATGCTCGTTGTATTGCGATAATCAATTCAATTCTGATGTAGATCCATATAATTTAAAATCACGAAATAATTCTAAACACCGTAACGTGAAAGGGCGAAAAAATAATGGGAAAATGATATCGGCGAGAATAAGTAAAATTAAGCAGAATATCGTACGTAATTTAATTTTTTTTTAATAATGTTAAAAATGATCTTAATTTCACAAGTAAATCAATTTTAAATGATTCAACAATTTTTTAATAGAATACAGAAGATGAACGTTGGATAACTAGACCAGCACGTACATGGCAGCCTGCAAAAAGGATCTCTGCAACAAACAACATCGTGTACGAATTTAATCCTTTTGGAAATGTTGAAAATAACGATACATCAAAAGGTTTTAACAATTCTTAAAATTCTGTAAATTCCTGTGGTTTATTTAATGGCTTAAAAAATATTAGAATATAAAAATGATGAAAAATATACGATAATTTGAAAAACTGTTATTTATTGGGTCAGTATTTTTAAACATTTGTTTATCAGTATTTTAAATAAATGATCAAAATATCTATACTAGAAACAAATAATAATGTATACCAGCCTTTTATATTATAAAATATTGATTAAAAATGTATAAAAATATTGACCAAATAAATAGAAGTATAGGTTAATTGAAAGTAATCAAGTTTTGGTGGTATCTGTTTTCTTGCACAGTTTCAACAATTTATAAATCTACAACGAACGTCAAAAAACATATTGTAAAAGATACAAAAGCACGTTCTATTATAACATTACCGAAATTAAATTCCACTCTTAATAATTCACTAAACATTTTTGAAAAAAATGAAAATCTTACGAACGTTTATGAAAACCAGACTTCTTTACCTTGTATTCTTAAAAAAACAGATTTAACGAAAAATGAAACGATTTCGAAAGAATCAGATATGAAATGTAAGTCTTATAACCAGAATCGAATTTCATTTTTTAAACATATCCTACATATATATATATATATATATATATAATTTTTTTGCGTATAGGTAAAATGGCATTAGCAAAATTAAATTATATAGACCGAAATATAGAAAAAGTTAAAACAAATTGGGAACAATTTCAAAAACATGATCGCAGAAAAGAAAAATATATATTTAATCCACATATGAAGAAATTATACAAAGTGTTAGAAAGCACTGTGTGTGATAAAAATAAAATAAAAGAAAATGTTGACTCGACAAATGATCAGGATATATTATTAAAAGATAGCAAATTTTCCAAAAATTCTAAAATTAATCAATGCGATGTTGAACATATCAAAAAGGTGTTTTTTCCAAAAGGAGATCAATTGACCGTTGTAAAATCTACGAGTACCAATTTACCTAGTAAAGAAATTAAAGAAGATATTTTAGGGAACGAAAAAAGAGATATTGTTGAGCAACAATTATTATTTACGGAAAAACTTTTGTGGAATATAAACGATATCTTAACTTATGAATCGAATTTATTAAATCCTTATAAAAATGATTCTTTGAATAATACATCACGTAAAGTTAAAACCGAGATAGACAAATATTTACTAAAGTATACCGCAAATTTCGATAAACTTAATACAGTAAAACAAAAAAATTTAACTATAAAAGTAATGGAATCTCAAAATGGTATACAAGAAAATTCTAATAAAAATTTAAGTTATTCTTTTTACGTCAATCAAGAAGATATAAATAATTTTAAGAAAAATGGAAACGAAACATCTGTAAACAATAATGAATTTGCAGAAAATAAAAGATCAGCTAGCGAAACACCAAATATAGACACAAAATCGACTGAAATTTATGACGAATTTAATGAAAAATTATCAAAAGGAAATGCATTCGTAAAAATGAGCTGTAATAATCTAAATCTACCGAAAAATGTCTTAAACGAAGTCCTTCAGTCGGAATATTTAAAAAAAGAATTATTGTCGTTGTATCCTATATAAAATAATATTTAAAAAGAAAAAATAATTTTAACAGAATTGGTGTTTTTTATTTGTTTTAATTTTTATTTTGTATATATAAAAATTGCATCTTAAAACACATTCTTTATGTACATTATCGACTTATACACAATATACAATTTTTTTATGTGCAAAATTAAAATCTTGTATATATATATCAGAACATATCACAAAATGTTACCTATTAATTCGTGTTATTATGATGCATAAATTAAAGACGATTATGTATGTTATTTTAGATTCATACATGTTCGTCATGAGTCTTAACCAATTCCAGTTTATGCATCAAAAATGGCACTGTCTTCATCGCTTTTACAATAGTCATCACTAAACACTTTTCACACTGCATTTATTTATAGTGTTTCGAGTTTGTTAAAATATATATTTCTTATATTTTGATATGTTTTTCAGTGGTTTCTATGTAATATAATAAATGTATATATGCCATGTCGGACCTATATATGCTAAGATTCTGAAACTATATATCTCTGCGTATATAATTTTTATATACTACAATCTCAATGCAAATATACACATCCAAATAAACATCACAAGCTATTCTTTTTCACGGAACAATCGATAATTTTTCCTATAATTGATCATATCACAATACTGGAAGTGCTGAACTATGGCTTTGGTATATTATAGCACCTGTGAAATTAATTGCTGCAGCTAATACAAACACTGGCATCCATCGACCATGAGAAGCAGTTACTAATTCAGCCGTTAATGGACCACAAAGAATACCAGGTATAGTGGCCTAAAAAATTTAATTAATTGATTTATATAAAAATATTGATACTAACTACTTGACACATCAACTTTTATGAATAACTTAAAACTTGTATATTTACGATAGTATTTGATACAGCAAAAGTAATGCCTGCATGATTTGGTGCTATATCTGCATGATTACTGAGATGTCCAGAAGAATTGCATGCGCAAAGTCCCATTGATATAGAAATAAAACTGTTCAATAAAAAAGTATATATTATTAGAACATACTAAAATATATATTTATAAAATTATTTAGAAATACTTACATTACTGCAGCGAGTAAATTATCCACTGCACAAAATGCTAATAAAAACGCTCCTGGTCCTATTAAGCCTATATTTGTCATCAGTCTTCTTACAGATAAGACGGACCATCTTTTCTGTATAAGATTATCAGCGCTATGTCCGGCAACTATAAAAAAATTTTATCCCATATATTATACCCTATGCATCTATTTAAAATGCATCTGTTTAAAAAAAATAAAATACGCGTGTAAGATACATACCGATACCAACAAGAGAATTGACAATATATGGAAGTGCCGTTAAACTTATGCTTTCTTTATTAGCAGATATATTTCTCGTCAAATAAGTAGGCAACCATTGCATAATTATATAATTACTCCAATTCATTGCAAAATGTGCTATATACAAAGCCCATAAAGGCCAATGGGTAATAAATTCAGTCCAGCGTAAGTTTCTATTTTGTGTCACCTAATAATATAAATTAAAAAAATGTTATTTATAAAAATAAATTATTAATGTAATAAAAAATTTACCTTTGGTACGAAGAGAGGAATTTCATCCTGAGAATTAGTTTCTTGATATAATAATAGCCACAACAAAGTCCATACAATTCCAATAATACCAAATAAATAAAATCCACTTTGCCAGAACAAATTAGGACAAATCTAATAATAATAATAATAATAATAATAATAATAATAATAATAATAATAATAATAATAAAATAATTTAATGCTTGTTAGAGATAATTACGAATAATAATAATTAAATTTAAAAAATGCTTACAACAGATGCAACAACTTGACCAACAGAACCTGCAGCTACGAGATAACCAAACGCTCTTGACCTTTCTTCTATAGGTACACTATGCGCAAATAAATGAAATATCACTGGCAAGCCTAAAACATTCACAGTTATATATCCGACATATGAATATTGTAAAGTTTTCTAAGAATTCTTACCTAATCCTTCGCCCAGACCAAGAATAACTCTGCAGATGATAAGCAATGGAACAGATTGTGCCAAGATTGGTGTTACTACGGTACTTATAGACCATAATAAAACAGCCAACATTAGTACTGTTTTACAACCAAAACGACTTACTATACTTGCACCAATAATCTAATTAACATTAACACAATAAGATAGTTCAAATGGTCGTATAACATCATTTATAGATCAGTTAAAGCTTAAAGCGCCGACTAATTTATTAGAAATTTTAGCTAGAACTTGATAAAGATTTGAAATAACTCAATTTCTAGATAAAATAATAATTAATTTTTAAATGTGTATATTAAAGGGAGTCTAGCGCTTCGAGTATTAACTTAATGACATTTTTGTTTGTTTAAATTCCATACCTGACTAGTAAAATAACCAAACGCAAAAGCGGATAATATCCAACCCTGCCAATGAAGATTCCATTTAAATTCATCGGTCATAGGAACGATTGCTATCGGCATGATAACTCGATCGGCTGCATTAATAAAATTCGCAGCGGAACAAAGTGCAACGATCCGCGATGTGCGCGGAAGCATCCTGAATTTTGGCATCTCAAAAGAAACTTGGTATTAAATAGGCCTCCAAAATTTACATCGCACGACAGCTTAACGATAGCCTAACCTCCCCTAATATGTAAAATTAATTAATCTACCTTGACATTGTAACGAAAGAAACTTTAAACAAATCTTTTTCGAGTATCATTTATCATAAAATAATATTAATCCTTTCAACGATAGCGTTAAGGTTATTAAATTGACGATAATTTGCACATACTACTACATTATAAATCGTTGACGTTATTCAACGTGTCAACCACATACAGTGATCCCAGAAGCTTTTGCTTGCTGATCGACACAGTGCCGTAAAATTATCGGGTTCTTAGTAAAAATTATCGTACGCACAGGAAAAAAATTTTGACTAGTTTTGACTAGGTTAACACTAGGTTAACAAAGATAAAAAGATTTTCTCCGCCGGATTTTCAGATTTTTTTTTAATGCAATTTTTATACAAAAGTGCAAAAAAAGTATGTATACAAAAGTATATTTTCGCGACTTAATGACCTTTTCTTTTTAACTTGTCATCTCCTTTTTTTCCTTTTTTTCAGCTTTTTCGGGATATGCGACTATGCGACTATGTAGGGCAATAGGAGGCACTGAGCGAGCACTGCGCTGCACAATCGAAACAAAAACAAGATCGAGACATATCGAAAATTATATTTACATATCGAATTATCGTAAAATTATCGTACAAGTCGGATTTACGATCGTACAATGCTTCAAATTATGTGACGTGACGATAATTATCGTACGAATGGGATCACTGAATTTACTCCATATAGAGATATTACAGATAGAGTAGACAAACCATAGGCGGTTGTGTAAGTGGAAATGTCTCTGCATGAATATAGCAAAAAACGAAAGGTTGATGTTATCTCTCTTTACTCATGCGGTACCGGCGTATGCGCATTAGACTTGTCGTGCTTGTCGTACACGTAAGAATACGATACCAGCTACCTTAACCTCTACCAGCAGACTAATGCGCATGCGCCGCTCAGCGCAAGTTAGAGAGAGACAACATCAACCTCCCATGTTCTATCTCTTTTTATTTCGTCGACAGGTTTTATGCTGGCTTGCTGCTCTATGTGTAGTGTCTCTATGATCAACCATCGGATTAAATCTCGATATTCACAGTTCGATAATAATCGAATACTCTCGATTTAAACAATATATATCGATAGTCGTCTTGTTAAATTTCAAATTCAAAATTTAAACTAATCGATAAATGGCATTTACTTACACTTATTAAAATATCAATAATTATTAAATAATTTTATAAATTTATTTGTTACTATAATCTATTTATATTCTTACATTCAGGTTTAATAATTACTCGTACCCGTTTTTAATTGATTATGAGTTAAACAATCAATATTACCGATTGAGCTGTGATTTTTTATTATTTAATCAAGAAATGCGCGCATGTGCGCGCGTGTCAATATTCATATCTCGTGCCAGCGTGATATATATAAGAAAATTCAATGAAACGCTATCCGGCAAATATAATAGTTTATTATTCGCAAAAGTTTACGTTAAGAAAACAAAATGGGACAAAGGGTCTCGAGAACAGACTTTGAATGGACTTACACCGAAGAACCGCATGCTAGTCGTCGTAAAATAATATTAGGTAAAAAACGAAATCTAACCTTACAACCATTATTTTAATATATATGTGTGTATGTGTAGATTGACAATGGTGTAAGTGACACTCTTATCAGTAATTTCATTTGTATGAACTTTATTGTCTAACATTTTTTGCAAAATGATTCATCGATTATCTTTAATAATAATCATTTTTAAAAAAATTTACATTTTATCATTTTAAAGGATGGAAAAACATTTATATTCATATGCCATATATACGTGTGTGTTTTATTTTATAATGAACTGTGTTCAAATTATATATAACCATGTTTATTATATTGCAGAAAAATATCCACAAATAAAAAAATTATTTGGCTACGATCCTAAATTTAAATGGATAGTAACTGGAATGGTTTTAGTGCAATTTTTATCTTTATTTATTGTAAAAGATTTAAGTTATCCTAAACTTTTTCTAATGGCATATTGTTTTGGAGGTATAATTAATCATTCTCTTATGCTTGGTAAGTAAATAAATCAAAAAGAAATAAACTATTAATAATACTCTATATACTTTTTTGAAATCTAATACGTGTTGCTTACATACTTTAGCCATTCATGAAATATCACATAATCTTGCCTTCGGACATGCTCGACCTATGGCCAATAGAATATTTGGTCTGTTTACTAATTTGCCAATAGGGATACCAATATCAATAAGTTTTAAGAAATATCACCTGGAACATCATCGGGTAAGAATTTTTCATTTGATTAATTTAATTATATGCTAATAAAAGATTAAAAATAATATATTTTAAATGTACAGTATCAGGGAGATGAAAAACTTGATACAGATTTACCAACTTTATTGGAAGCAAAATTATTTTGTACTACATTTGGCAAATTTTGTTGGATATGTTTGCAACCATTTTTTTATGCCTTTCGTCCTTTAATAACTTATCCAAAAGTACCAATAATGTTTGAGTATATTAACTTAATAGTACAATTAATATTTGATGCAATTTTGTGGTATTTTTTTGGTAAGAACACACTAGACCTTGAAAGTATTTTTATACGATTTTAATACTTATCAAATCATTATAATATGTATATTTGTATATATATCAGGTGGCAAAGTATTAATATATTTAATTGGAGGATCACTTATGGCAATGGGACTACATCCTGTAGCAGGTCACTTTATATCAGAACATTATATGTACAAAAAGGGATTTGAAACTTATAGTTACTACGGACCTTTAAATTTTATAACATTCAATGTTGGTTATCATAACGAACACCATGATTTTCCTGCTGTACCTGGTTCACGATTACCTGAAGTATAATTATCTTTTTACACAAAAACAAAAAAAAATTGATAATTATAGAAATATACATTTATTTATTTCTTATTTATTTCTAGGTGAAACGTATTGCATCTGAATTTTATGATGATCTACCTAAACATGATTCTTGGACATCTGTTTTATATGATTTTGTGATGGATCCTGAAATTGGTCCATATGCAAGAATGAAACGAAAACATAAAGGTTTAAAATCATAGATTAAAAATATTATACTTTTGCTAATAATTATTATTTACATATACTTAAGTACAGAAATTCTATTATCATTATTACATTTATTACAATGCAAGTATAACGAATATTTAAATATTAAATTAACAAAATCAAATTTGATGGTCAAAACTACAAAAATCGTAAATATATTTTAACTATTCATTTTGATTTTTTTTTTATATAGCTTTATTTAATGTTGCATCAATCCTCGGGGATTATTAGCGACATAAGAGTTATGCATTAAAGTTTGTTATACATATTAGTTTGCTTAAGATATTTTAGTAAATTTATTATAGTTGTTATGGAATTTAGGTTGTCTTTAGTGGTGGATTTCGTAAAGAATTTCTGTCGGACTGAAGTGAGTTTTCTGCCGTACAAGATGATGTGATGCTTGATAGAGGTTGCGATTCTTGTAGAAGGTTTTAAGGTTTTCCAGTTTCCTTGAGTTGTCGTTTTTTTTTAAATTGTTTCCTTGTGGCAGATTTTTTCTGTTTGGAGTTCGTTAGTTAATGTTTGTAAGTGTTCTAATCTACTGTAGGAACCGTTAAGGTTCTACTGTATTATGCGTAAAGGCATATTTGGTTGTTGTTAAGTTTGTTTATGATGATTCGAATTCGGAGTCAAAAGATTCGCGAGGATTTCTTTCTTTCTCCAATTTTTTAGCAAGGCGGTGTAGTCTGTTTTTGATGCTTCTTTCCTTTAGTAGGGTCCGTACTTCTCTGATCATGTCTATTATTGATTCCGTTTCTGAGGTGTACTCCTTTAGGGTGTCAAAAGGATTTTTTGTTGTTGTAGGTATTTTCTATTAGGTTTTTAAATTGGTTGTAATTGAGGATGAATTTATTTTTTGGGTCGTTTATGGGTTGCTTTGGCTGGCTTTAACATTTCATCTATTTTCTCAATGTTTCTCGCCGCAAGTGAGCTTTTTTTTGGTTTTTTGTTCAGGTTTGTTTTTAAGGGTACATCATCCAAGGAAGAATTCATATTTCCATCTCCAGGAATTGTTGAGATGGTTTTGATTTCAGGTAGGGTGGCCGCTTCATCTACATCTGTTTGGTTGGTTGAGGAAGCAGATAGTGGTCTTTTGTTTGGGAGGGGTTTAAAGGTGGTAATTAAGTGGTCTTCTATAACCATAGTGGTAATGGGAGAGAATTTTGGTTCAATGTTGCTGAAGTTGATGAATTGTGTTCTGTCCGTCTTTGCTATTGCTGCTGTTTTTTTGCTTACATAAGGAGCAGATAACCTTATCGTTAGCGGTGAAAATTCTATACTGAGTATCTTCGTGGGTGACCATGAACGATTCAGGGACCTCTTTTGCGTCGTCTGGTTTAACGTAAATTTGTCTCCTAAAGCTCATTACGTGGGAGAAACTAGGGTTTTGTATACCAGCTCGCAGAGAGGTCATTTTGGAGGTAAGTCTGATATTGTTTTTTTTTAAAGAGGTTTTCTAGGAATTCGTGCAGAATGGAAAGAGAGACATTGGATAGTATGATTCTTTGAGATGAGTTTATAAGAGGTCTAACGGTAGTGGCTATATTGTTGGTGGTTAGTGTTTTATGCTTATTTGTGAAGTTTGTGGCTGTGATTTTGCTGTTGAGGTATATGCATATTCTGTTGTTGGATATTCGAAAATGAATTGTTTGGGGCCTGAGAATGTTTTCAACCATGGTTGCGTAGTCTTGAATGGTTGCATCTTCAATTGCCTCAATTATGATAGCCTGGTCTTTTCCTGGGAACATGTTGATTGCTGCTGCTGTGGCATATGATTTGGTAGGTTGGGTGGATGGAAGAGTCGTGGATATTTCTTTCCGTTCGTTTCTTGAATTCATATTGGTGGATTTTTTTTCTGTCGTGGATATTACTTTCCATTCTTTTCTTAAATTCATGTTGATGGGTTCTTTGTCTGGAGGATTGTTCTTGACGCGGGCAGGATAACTCATGCTGTACACATAGTCGTCGACCCACACGTATAGGCACTATCGCTATGCAAAGATACACCACACCATAGCGATATGATGGTAGGGGCGATAACGGTAGGAGATAAAACACGTAGAGCGCTCGAGCAGAGCTGGGGAAAACACGTCCGATCGGTTCGGTTGCTTCGGTAGGACTGCCATTTTGACTTTAATTTGCATAATAAAACGCAAATGATCATCCTACCGGTAGTCCTTTATGGTAAAGACGTGGTCACTTACATTACGAGACGAAAAGAAATTTAGGGTATTCGAAAATAAAGTTCTTCGAAAAATCTTCGATACAAAACGCGATGAAGAAACGGGCGAATGAAGAATACTACGTAACATAGAAGTACACCGATTGTATAACAAACCAGGCATTATTAACGTCGTAAAATCACGCCGATCTTAATCGGGGCAGGCGACTTGGCGCACATGGGTGAAGAACGAACAGCGCATAAAATACTGATCGGTATACCTAACGGGAAAAGGCCACTGGATAGACCAAAACGTAGATAGGAGGACAATATTAGGAGGGATCTTAAGGAAATGGGGTACAAAAACCACAAATGGAGGAGTAGCGCTCAAGAACGGGAACACTGGCGGGATTTGGTATTCGTGGCAATGAACTTTCCAGTTCCTAACGCTAGTTAATAATAATAATAATAATAAAACGCAAATTAATGTTATAACAAAACAAAACAAGAATTTTTAAAGGTTATTTATAATCAATATGACGGGTTTTGATAAAAATACGCAATCAATGTCAATAATAAATCTAATATTAAGTATAGCAATGAAGAAGAAATAATTTAACTAAATAAATTATATTACATTTCCAAGCCTTAACCCCTTAATTTGTGCGCTCGAGTTAATTCGAGCGCGCTAAACAGGTCAAACTGTACACACTCAAGATAAAAATTTTGATTCATTTTGTATTTTTTTTTTAGTTTTTTGCCAAGACAATGTTCTAAAGTGTGTATTTTTACATAAAAAAAATTGATTTTTTTAGCCTGTTTAAAAAAAAAATCTGTGCGTTAAGGGGTTAAAAATTTAGATAAAAAATTTAGCTGAAAAGATATATAAAATATTAAAGAAAGTAAGATCGTACAGATATGAATCATACGATGAGATTATTTCCGACACATAGTGATGATATAAATAATAATAATTATGTTATTATATGTTTATTACGTAAATTATGAATTTCAGTAATATCAAATATAATTAAATGAATACACATTATTTCTTGTATAATGATCAGTATTTCTATTTCATTTCAAGAAAATAATATATACATTATTTCATAAATATATTTATTTATTTAAGATCATAAATAAGAATTTTAATACAACATAAGAACCAATGATAATAAATTCTATTCTATATAATTGTATTATATGAAAATCTGGAACAAGAAAAATAGATAAGATAAAAAATAAGAAAAGAAAGATAAGTTTACCAAAGTAAAAAAATAGAAAACAAGGAGAGGGAGTTAATCACATGATCCTGTTAAAATAGGTAAAGAACATTATAAAAATAAAAAAGAAGACGCACATCACACACACAATAATTCTAAAAATAAATTAAAAGAAATAATAAATTTTATTATATATTAGAAATGGGTAGTTTTTATCAACTCTAAGTATTGTTAAATCGTCGATGAATCGTTGGTTTATTATATATTACATAAATTATACATTTTTCTCAACAATATTATTAGTATATATTATAAAAGTGATAAATATATAAGAAATACTCGCTTTAATAATCATCAACGTTTGATACAAAAAATAAATTTATTTATATTTGTAATTATATTTCAACGAATATTAATTTTTCTATCTAATGAAAAAACAACGCTACAAATTGTACATTAATAACTAAAAAGTAATATTTAAATAGATGTTTAAAATAAAATAAAATTTAAAAAATAAAAGAATAAATGCATAAAAATTATACGCTAATGTTTATAACAACTTTATATATACATCATATGAGTATACTTTAAGCCATGATTAAATATTATGGTAATAATAGACTCGAAGAATTCAACTTGATTAGTTTTTGTCTTTATTGTAAAGTATGCGACAAAAATATTCAAAGTATTGAAAACCGATTATGTATATATCAGTGTGTTTCAGATCATTATCTGCTTGATAAATCCAATCATGTGGCATATACTAGTCAGCAAATGGTATTAACTGATCCTTTACAATATTTAGATTTTGTTTTTTAGATCTTTTTTTTTTTTAAATTTGTTCATAATACCTTCGACGTGGTGAATAGGGCCCGTACCGTTTATAGTCATTGCACTCCGTACCAATACAGATCCACCGCCACCTTTTACAGTAAGTCTTAACAGATGTTCTAAAAAAAATAATAATTGTTTAATAATAAGAAAAGTAATGGTTAAGATCTCATCGAGGGAAAAAAATTAAGAAAATTTTTTTGTAAAAATAGCAGCTGTTTGAAAAAAAAATACAAATTTTTCTTGAAATTTTGAGTTTAAAAAATTAATAACTTTTGAACATGACACCCAATCAAAAAACGGTCCTATGAGGTCTTAGACAATCCTATGAAGTGTAACTGTTATAATTTTCAAACAAATCGGTTGAGTAAATCTTAAAATATCGTGTACACCGTTTAAAAAAAAAGTAGTTTCAAGAAAAACAAAAGAAAAAAGTACGACGTAAGCGTCTTTAAATCACATTTTTTTAAAATTACTTTTAATTTGAGATTCCTGAATCGTACATGAGGTCTTCTATTATTGCTGTGATGTCCTCTGATTCCTTTTGTGTTGCTCTTTTTAATTTTCTGGCCTCTTTAGTCTTCCGTTGCGCTCTTATGTCAGCTATAGATATTCGTTGAGAATCCAACTTTTCAACTAATTGCAGCGCATTTAGGCCGATTTCTAGTTTTAATAATTGTATTATATATAATACACTAGTATAGTGTATGTTTTATAGTGTATAAATGCAATTTCAATAATTTTTGTCCCATTGTAATGTACTTTTGGAGCCATAGACCAAATTACAGCGTTCAGACTTTCACTGATATCTTGGGTATATCCTTCCAAATAACGTTCCAATAAATCGGTATCAGTTAATCTATCGTACACCGGTTTAATTACTTCTTGAACAATTACAGGAATTGAATTTTTATGTTTATAAAAATCAAAAGTTTTATAAGCTTTTGCTTTTTGATACGAACGCCAGGTATCATCGCCAGATGGGCACTTATCATATTGTGAATTTTCTTCAGAAAAATCTCAAGTTTTAACTAACTTATATTTTTTTTAGTTAAAAAAAATGTGAAAAAATTTTTCACTCAAAATACACTTTGCCAGAAATAAACATAAAGATTATTATAAAACAATTAAGATATATTCCGTCTAACGTAATTAGAAGGGTTATTGATTATTGAAAATACACTTAAAAATGGTACTTATATATTTTTTATACGGTTAGATATTATTCTAAACCTTATGCAACAAAAATAAAAATTATAATAAAAGATGTAACTATATTAGTCTTCATCACTGTCTTCATTCACTACGACACTAATTTTTTCATCGATGAACAGGCGACTCAGGATCTCAGCAAGTCTTACAATTTTCGCCAAATATCGAGCGTAAGATAAATAATATATGATAGCAGCAATGTGAGAGCAACATCCAACAGTCCCACATAACACGATAAGTTTTGAAATCTTTCAGCGAAAGTTTCGTAAAATATTTCCAAAAAATCTTTCAGACACCTTGCAGGCATCATTCTAAAATATTTTGAAAAAGATTCATAAAATATTTTACAAAAATATTTCTAAAATATTTTACTGATAGAGTAATCTTTTGCAAGTCTCTTAACGCGGATATTTTCACCTTGTAGAAAGATTTTTTAAAAACCTTTTTGAAAGGTTTAAAGCTTTTCAAGAAATGTTTTAGAAAGTTTATAGAAAGTTTTTATGTTATGCGGGGTGCGTCTACCATTCGCACAATCACAACAATATCGAGTTATTCCGGAAATATCGTTCTTATCTGGCTGATATTCAATAAAACAACGATATGTCTTCGAATTAATATGTCAAGATCTGACTTCGAACTTTATAACATTAGGTGTAATTTTTAAATAATGGAATGTAATTATTCCGTTTTTATCCATCATYTCAGCTAAATACGATACAGCTTGAGACATTTGATATGATCCAGTGAAAAGAATTTTGAGTTCTTTCTCTGATAATTCTGGAAAGCCAGTTAATTGCTCTGAAGTTATTATTGCAAAGGGAACTTTTCTTCTGGCCCAACGATTAGTTTCTATCTCCAAGGCTAAAGTATTCTCTTGATCTTTTTTTGAATTCATGGCAGCAATTATTTTTTTTGTAAGATCAAGATMAGAATCAAGTCTTGTTCCAAATTCAAAAAAAATATATATATATAAGTTAGTTAAAACTTGAGATTTTAGAAAAAAATGAATTTTTAATTTTTTTCATATTGTTCCACCACTTCAAAAAATTCAAGAAAATTCCTGAGTGTAGAGGAGTATAAAAGATATTTTCTGACGAGTTTTGGTGCGTGACATATTCCAAAAAAGCTAAAAAAAAAAAAGATTTTAATTTTCTTTCGTCCGCCAAAAATCGGCTTTTCGTTAAAATATTATGATCATACTTTTTTTCATGTCTTGGACACCTAAGAACTAGAAAAAAAATCATCATTGATTAGTTTTGAATTTTACTATAAAAAAAAAAATAAAATCGAAAAAACAGGTTTTTTTGAAAATCTCGAGAACCGTTTGAGTAAAAGCTAAAATTTGAGATGAATTATTTTTATTCGACACCAAATCGATCCCCCAAGTGCGAGTCAAAAAAGCCACGGGGGCAGATTTCCCATACTTATCCGGCTATACCCTTTACTGTTACTTTCAGGTAACAACGGTCCATAAGGTCTCCACTTCTACATATAAAAACTTAAGCGTGTGAAATTCTACGAATTAGTTTGCACCATTAGTTGGCATTAAATATTAATATACATTGCATTTTGAACATTTTATTTTCAGAATTCCTTTATACCCGGGATTTTTGCAGCATCCTCCTATTGTCCAAAAAAATTGAATCTTTTCGGACGTTTTGTACTGGAAGTACTGTATTTGGTCTTCTTTTTATATTTTTATTTGTTTATCTATTTTGGAATAAACAAGACGCCCTCTTTTCTTACAGATTCCTTTGTGCTTCTGACAAACAAAATGGAATGTCAGTTTTATATGTCAATCAATTATATTAATTTCTGGGGCTTACAGAATGCGTTGAATTTTATCAACGGATACACGACCGGTGTAAACTAAGTAAATATCATTCATTTCTTTCGTGACAATTTATTCCTCTGATATCTTTATAGCTCTTCCACAATAGAACTGATAAACATGGTCAGGAATTGTTCAACAAATTCCTCAACTTGTTCCGACATTTGACAGAACACACAAGCTTTATCTTAAATATACAGAAATACTTATAGGCCTTATAGGCCATTATTACTTCAAAGTAACAGAACTGTATCATAAAAAAATAGTAATAAAATGATATTTAAAATGTAACAAAAAAGTTATTGTTGATATTTAAACTTAGAACAATTATATACATAATTTTTTATTCAATAAAAACCGACAGAAGCACAAATAATATCAATTGGAAAAAATGGTTTTGCTTTTTTTTACTGTTGACAGCTTACCCATCATTTATTTTGTCCTTTCAGGTTGATGGTAATAGCAACTGTCATGAATATTGGTATTAGTTAGATATTATAGAATTAAGATGTATATATCTCATTAAAAAAAACTAAAATTATTTAGTAAAATACCGAAAAATTAGCATGTCACTTGAAAGTAACACTGGCCCATAGAGGCTTAAAATATGTATACATTTTTATATATTCAAGTACATTTAAAGTGTATAAATAATTTGGATATTAAAAGGTATATACATATTAGATTCTTTTTTTTCCATTGTATGTTTTATATCTTTATTAAAATAAAAACTATCATTTAATTGCAATTAAATTATTAAAAATTAGATATGTGACTAGTAGTAAAATAGTAGCATTCTATTGATTTAAAATATATATAGATAATGAGATATTTAAATACAGAATGTAAAAATAGTAGAACAATGACAATAGTAGGACAAACTATATAGCATTAAGTTCTCTTAATACTTCTAGCAATACTTGAATTAGATTAAACATTTATACATAAATTTTGGAACGTTTTTTTTAAAAACTTACTTTACCTCGAACCTTGAAAAAACCTAAAGCATTTTTATTATGTACCAATGCACCAATACCGCAGTAATTTTCTACAATTATAGGTCCAGTCACCATGTTACATTCTTCTGGTAATAAACTTAAAATTGCTGCATGCATAGCTTCTACGTCAAATTTTGTCTTGTCCATTTCAGAACCTAATATCATCAATTATTTTTTTATATATGCAACATTATTATTGATAATATGCAAAATTTATATAAATATATAAATTATCTTAATCTACCTTTATGCCAAAATAACGGATGACTCGCATACGTAAGCCATGGTATATTTTTTGCAAATGGATTCCACTTTTTACTTAGAGATAGCGGATGACCTTTATTCCACATTAATCGTGTGCCTAACATATGTCGCTTTCTGAAAATTGAAGACTAGTTAATATGATTCAATTTCAAATTTTACAAACCTTTTTTCTCTTTTTTTCTAAATTTAAATATCTTTAAATATTATATGTTTGTCAATTCATAAAACTACAAAGTATATAAAACATCGATAAAACATGCAAACAATTTATAAAGTACAATTCAAAAATATAACCAATTATAAAAATCATAGAAGACATACACAAAACACAATATAAAAATAGCAGAACTTACATTTACACATTTGTTGGCACATATAAGACAACTCTTTAAAAACACACAAAAGCGACATTTCTTATTAGATGAATATAATTATATGATTTGCTATGTATAATAAAGATTTTTATAAATGATATGTAATACATATATATAAATATCACAAAAGCTGTTAAATATAATCAATAATGAAAAGCGAACAATTATAATTAAAGTGAATATGAAATTCCATTCACTCTATTAATATACCTAGGCTCAAATTGAGTAAGATTGGAACATGTAGTGAGTGATGACCATTCTTGACGTACGGCACAATTAATTACGTATGACATTACTTCTGCCAAACCATTTAATCGTCTATAAAAAGTTTATTTTTCTTATATATTATAAAATGAAGAATATTACATTTAATTATAATAGTAGCACTTTAACATTAATAGAACAATAATATTATGTTTCCATTAAACTTACGGGGCAAGGGATGATATAGGATAAATCAGTTCGCCTATAACTACCGTGTCAAGATTTGCTAAAGGTATTTTACTATACTCCAATATTTTTAATGAAATAAAATCATATTTCACAGAGTAAAGATATGTACTTGTAAGCAATACAAGCCTTTCTTTTTCGGTATCCCACAAACTGATTCTATAAAAAAATATTTTATTTATTAAATATTTAGCAAAATCATGCAATTTACTTGTATCAATTTTTGTATGCTTTACCTATACATTTACATAGATAATTGTTTTATTAAAATATTAAATATATATCACAATTTATTATAATAAATAATTATGTATAAGTAATGCTTACTCAGTTAAAAGCCAGCTTCCAACAATGTCATTGCTACTGACATCCTTCAAAAATTCTTGGCAATCATTTATTGCGCGTTCAACCACTTCTTTTCTATCAGTAAAGAAAGTATGTACGTCCACATTTTTAAATGGAAAGTAGGAAATATCTTTAATAGATGGAACTTGTTCTGTGGTTTTAGAACTATCTTCTGTATCTAATTTTGCAGTGGTTAACTCTTAAGATAAAAAAATATATTTCTTGTTAATTAGATTAAATATATCTCTAAATATTGAAAATTATTATAAAATATTTTTAATAATTAAATATATATATAGGTTATATTATGAAATGTAAATAATATGAAATTGTAAAAATGTTACATATATATATATGATATTTTTAAATATAATTGTTATACATATAAACAAATACTACAGCATTGAAATAAATATGTATAAATTATTTTAATTATAATAGTAATAATAATTAAATAGATTAGATAGCATACATAAAAATATATTCAGTCATATATGAAAATTTATTAATTTAAATATATATTTTATTTAATATTTAACACATTCTTTATTAAAATAATAATAATATTATTAATAATAATTTCAAGCTTACCATCGATACTTTCTGGATCTTTAGCAATTTCTAAGGTAGCTGTTTGAAAATTTACCGCGGGTTCGTCATCCAAAGGTACTTTATCCATCTCGTTGATATTGATGTATTTTTAAATACTTAGAGTTACTGCAGAATTGAATATTTTCAATGAAAATTTACTTAATGTTTTTTTATTAAGAGAAGTAAATAAATAATATTAATATATATTTATTAGTTACACAAACATTTTAACAAATCACACATTCGCCATTTCTTATCATTGCAGGTGGCGTACGATGACGTATTAAAAAAACGATATGAAAAATAATTTTCATCAGTGTTATACAGGATGATCGGTAACTGGTGGTACAAGCGAAAAGGTGGTGATTCTACATGAAAATTAAATCGAAAATATAGAATAACAATTTTTCGTTTGAGGCTTTGTTTTCGAGAAAATCGACTTTAAATTTTCGTAAAGTACGACTTTTGTTTAGGCCGCGTCCGTCACGGGTGACTGCAGACGTTTAACTATTTTTTCAATACAAAGTAACGCCTGTGGCCTGACGAGAATTTCCCTAAGAATTCGCGTGGCGCTTAACGTGTTATTCTATGATATTTTATTTTATAAGTTTATCGCAGGATCTTGTTTAACAGAAATTGAATATTAAGAAAAATAACAAAATATAAGATTTATGGTCTATAAAGGATTTGATACCGAACACTAATCGATACTGATAGTGTTTTGCGATAAAGGTCGGATAGTAAGATAATAGGTAGAAAAACACTTCCGTGATATTGGAAGTGTTTATCAGCATAATTTCAATCGAGACAATGATCTACAATGAGATCCATTATAACGAGACATGATTAACACCACGGAGCCTAGGTAACAGGAGGGCGACAGTGCTGTCAGATCGTGGGTAAATCTTACCCTCTCCCTGTGCCACTGGGATTGTACACAATGAAAGTTTTCCATGTCCGTGTGTTTGGGATTTCGAGGAAAGCACTGTAACCGAAGTTGGCGGTTGGCCACGAAGTGGCACACTATGAAAGCGACTCGTATCCATGTGTTCGGACGACACGAGTCGCTTTCATAGTGTGCCACTCCGGCGTGCCCGCCAACTTCGGTTACACTCGGCTTTCCTCGACATCCCAAACACACGGACATGGAAAACTTTCATTGTGTACAATCCCAGTGGCACAGGGAGAGGGTAAGATTTACCCACGATCTGACAGCACTGGAGGGCGATCGCAATGTATTACAAATGTTCGAAAATGGCGGGACAGATATTTTGCCACTAGAGCGCGTTAGTGTGGCTAATATCAGGTTTTTAAAACTTTGTTTATTGTCGCGGGAATGTAACAATTCTACTCACGCGTTAGTCAAAATAAATTAACCAAATCTTATAATTAACGTTAAAAATAGCAATAAGAAAAACTTTTATTATTTTACAATTATTTCCAAGATATTATCGTCAACTTGTTGTGTAAATCTATTCAATTTCATCTTACCTAGTCGCAGTTGAGTAAAGGATGGAAAACTAAATTTAAAAAGTTCAATTAAAAGTAAATTGTAATTTATTATCGTAAATTGCACTTTTTACAAGACTAGATTTTTTACCATTTGCATCATTGCATTTTTTTATATTAGTAATTAATAATTATCAATTAAAGTTATATTACCTGTGGTAAAGTGAATAAAGATGTATTTCTCTGATTTAATTTAGCATTCTTATTACGATCCTTGACTCGTCCACTTGTACACCCATAAACAATACATTTATTTACCATTTTTAAATAAATATTACTTTTTATAAATTAAAAAAACATTAATACAGTTGTTTATGATGCAGTATTATCAACAATTGTTAATGAAAAATATGACGTTATAAACTTGACACATATATGTAATACTTCTATATGGACAGTTTAAATGGGAAGGAATGTCCCACTATTAAGGTGCCGACATATACTATTTTCTCTCTTGTCCCAGATACCTGGTTCACGTTGCGCATGCTTGAGAATTCCCCATGATATTAATAGAGGGGGAAGAATGAGGGGAATAATTTTGTGGTTATGATTCTGTTTACAAATATATTTATTATTGTAATTCAGAAAAACAATTATAAATTTTTAAAAACTTTTGTTTTTATTTAAATAATATTCTTTTTCCAACAATCAGTTATTGAAAA